GTAGTGCGATTTTTAAAATTAGTACTTGAAGCCCAAATCGCGGGAGGAATATGTGCATCAGTTTTCAAATATTTATTATTTACTATATAATTTCTAAATAGAACCACTTTCACTTCTTTAGGTAACAATGTATCTGTTTTGACAACTAAATAGGTAATTCGACAAAATAATGAGTATTATTTTGAAATTATTAATTTCAAAACAGAAGTTTAAAGAATTAGAAGGAGGTAGTCCTGGCCCAGTTGAACGGTCAAGCTTATTCCAGTGGAAGCAATAAGGAGGATTATTTTTCGTTTTGGCTCAGATGACATGCTCTCTCTAGCACTACAACCCATGAAACTGTGGTAAAAAGCATGCTTTATTTATACGATTGTGAAACACGACGATTAACAGAGACATTGAAGAAAGATATCAGATAAGATATTAACAGAAAGAAAGATGCAATAAAGTATGAGAATAGAAGGTACAATCATGGATGGCATACAACGAAATCAGCTAAATTGTACGGACAGGTCCAATGAATGAAAGACAGTAGACTCTTGAAACAAGTACCTGTATGAACACCTACAGGAATCCAGAAGAGAGGATTACCTTAGAAAACACGGATGGAAGGAATAAGAAACTTATTGAGCTCGAAAGAACTTAAAGAACAATGGAACAACCGAATTGAATGAAAAATGGACGTCGGAAGACGTTTTATAGGGATTATATCATATTATAGGTACATTTTTTGGACTAAAAATAAATTTGAAGAAAATCAAGTTCATGGTATTTACAAAAGCACAAAGCATCAAAGTTAAGCTAGTACTAGATAATACAGAAATTGAACAAATATCTTCGTACAAATATTTTACAGCATGGATCACAGAAGATTCTGATTAGACAAAAGAAATAAGATGCCGCATTGGAATTGCACGGTCAACTTTTAATAAAATGAGAAAACTTTTTTGTAATCGCGATATCAATATATCGCTCCGGATAAGAATGCTTCGATGTTATATTTTCTTTACCCTTTTGTATGGGATTGAAGCTTAGTCACTTAAAAAATCCAACATTAAAAACCTAGAATCATTCGAAATGTGGTGTTACCGACGTATTTTGAAAATATCATGGATGGAACGCAAAACAAACGAACAAGTTCTCGAACAACTAGGAAAACAATGCGAAGTTTTAAATTCCATAAAAATCAGGAAATTGGAATACTTCGGATACACCATGATAGGTGAAAAATACGAACTACTAAGGCATACAATGTAGGGTAAAATCAAAGGCAAAAGAAGCTTAGGAAGACGTAAAATCTCGTGGTTGCGCAATCTCCGTGAATGGTTTGGATGCAGTTCAATTGAACTATTCAGGCGCGTAACCAACAAAATTATAATTGCCAGAATGATTTCCAATTTCCGATAGGAGTGGAACTTGAAGAAGAAGAATAAGTACATTATTATTATATCATTATATATTTATATAATATATGATATACGCGATATTGAAAGAGGTTACAACATAAACAATCAATAAAATCTACATCGTCAACTACACAGTGAAGACCCAACAATAATAGAAGTGTCAAATGCCGTCCTAAAACTCAAAGACAATAAAGCCACAGGAATCGATGAAATCTGTTGGGAAATATATAAAAAAAGGTGGTGATCAACTTTTTGCAGTAACCAATAAACTAATGGTACTTATATGGTAGAATGAATTGGTACCAGAAGAGTGGCTAAATGAAATAATATACGTTGCATAAAAAGGGCGATTAACTGGATTGTAAGAACTATAGAGGCATTACTTTGTTAGCATCTGTGTATAAAATCTTCGGCAATATATTGTTTGAAAGACTTAAACATTTTACAAAGGATATTGTTGGTCAATATTAATGCGGATTTACTGCTGCAAAATGAACTATACCTCAAATTCAAGTGAATATAACATAGATACACACTATCTCTTTCTCGAGTTCAAAGCAGCCTATGACAGTGTAAAAAGAACTAGTGTTAAAAATACAAATCTCATTCTTTAAAATGACGTCAATAAGGATCCTTAATTATTATAATCAAATTAGCTGTGAATTAACAAAAAAACATGGCTAACTTTGGCCCAAATTAACCTAGGGCAAATTTTTTTATTTGAAAATTCGGGTGCAAATACTAGCTTTTCGAAGGTAAAAAAGATTTTTTCTAAGGGCAATGTTTTTAAAGTTATTCTAAATGTTTATTGACTACATAATTTCAAAAATTTGTCATCAGGATTTTTGACTATAATAAATCATTTTTTTTATCTTTTTTTAATACATATTGATAGTATAAGTCTATTGCTTTCATTTGTTACCCACAGCATTACCCTATCTTTATTATTTTCTATATCAATTGTCACTTATTTTGTAGTTTGCAAAGCAACAAATTGATTTTTCATTTTACAAATCGGCATTTTGAAGCTTTGTCAATATTCTAAAAAATAAAATTTTATAATTTTATGTAAAGTATTTAGCTTTCTAATGGAGTGCAAAAAATCGAAAGAATCGCGTTTTTTGCATTAAATTGTTAATCATTAAAAACGGCTCTGAACTTTAGGTAGGAAACGGGTAGGTTTTCTTCTTATAGGTCTACAATAACTAAAAAAGTTGTCAGCTACCTGGATTATTGAGTGTCACGAGAAAATCCTTATTACCCTGGACTAATATGACTGGACAAGCAAGTGAAGAAACAAACTTCATATATTATGTAAACTTTACTAACAAAAACGTTCAAAATAAATTTTCCAATAAATATAAATAATCAAATTCCATATTCAAATACTGCAAAATATTTGGGTATTGTCCAATAAATATAAATAATCAAATTCCATATTCAAATACTGCAAAATATATGAGTATTACTCTAAGCTTATGTAAAGAAGAAAAGAAATTAATCATTCTGATTGAAATACAAAAAAATGTACTGTCTGATTGACCAAAATTCTACGCTGTTTCTAGATAATAAATTATTATTATATAAGCAAATACTGAAACAATAGTATTATTATAATAAAAGTATAAACTGTAAACCGTCGACGAGAATCCAGAAACTATCGACAAGGACAGCCTGACTGACCGAGAGAGAGAGATTTACATTTAGCAAAATTTGAGATTTTTAGAAAAGTTTATACCAAATAGCTGCTTTGTGTTACACTTTATGTTAAAAATAAAAACAGATTCAGAAAGTGGGTCAAATTCTGTAGTGCCCTATTTCAAAAAAAAAAAAATTTACGTTTATTTTAACCAAAAATATTTGAAAAAAAAATTGTTTAAACAATTTATTAATTTACAACCAAATAGTGCACTAGAACTTTTTAAGACCTTCCATATCAAAAAAGAATCATCTCAATATCTGCCATAGTTTTTGTCACAGTTTTTGCCAAGTCACAATTAAGGGTTAAAATAAGTTTATTGACGTTTCAATTTCCACTTCGGAAATCGTTCTCAAAATACAACAAACATTAGTGTTTGTATTTTGGACCCAAAAAATTACAGAGGAATTAATTTATTAAACACAACACTCAAATTAACAACCAAAGTGATAAATAACCTGAATGAAATTATAACACTAGCAGATGAACAACAAAGTTTTAGGTCGGGAAGATCATGCACCGACGCAATATTTATAATGAGGCAAGTGTAAGAGAAATTAGAATATAACAAACCGGCACATCTATGTTTCATGGACCTGAAGAAGGCATTTGGTGGGGTCAAATTAAAGGACGTTATCCACTTATTTTACGCAAGACAGGTACCTCTAGGAATAATCAAAACGATCGAAAATATCTACCAAAACAACACAATAAAAGTAAAAGTTGAAGAAGAGCTAACTGAACCTATTGAAGCTGGCAATGGAATAAGACAGGGAGATTCCCTGAGTCCTCTATTGTTCAACCTGGTTATGGATGAAATAATAAAAAAAGTAAGAACTAAAATAGGATACCAAATGGGAGAAAAACAACTTAAAATAATCTGCTATGCAGACGACCGACGCATTACTACTCTCTCAAAGTGAAGACAATTTACGACCGCCAGAAAATTTAACATGTTAATTTCCCCAAAAAAAGACAAAATGCATGGTTACAACAGCAAATTTACTAAGGTGTAAATTGAAGCTCGAAAACAGTCATCCAACCAATAATGACATACGCGGCAGAAACAAGACCTGACACAGAGAGGACAAAAAGTTGTTAGAAACAGCAGAGATGAAAACACTTAGAAAAATTGATGGCAAGACACTATAGGACAGAGCTAGGAGTACAGATATACGGACGTTTATGCAAGGTGGAGAACATTAAGAACTGGGTAAAAAATAGAAGAGTGGAATAGAATAGAAATATTGCCAAAAATTTACTCTTGTTGTTTCTGAAAGACTGATTCAATTGCCTAATTGGTATATTTCCTCACTTGCTATATTCATGCTATGCAATAAATTAAAATACTTTTCTACATCTTCATAAAACAGTTCTTTTTCTTCATCTATTCTATCTTCACTGCGCTTTTAAAATACTTTGAAAACTACCTTCCATTTTTATTCATATACTACAAATTCGTTCTGAAATATGCCTAGAATGTTTATTTGCATTTTTTTTAACGAAAAGACCTACCCCGAACATTCTGTGCTCTCCCTCTCTGTAAAAAAAAAACTTGTAATTAACTTTACTCATAATACAATGAAAATAACGGTAATATATTAGTAGGAAGAAGCTAGAATTCATGATCAAAGAACCTGAGGAGGTGGTTTGACTGACCGCTCGTCTTCTGAAATTTTTCGTGCTACAACTACAATTGGCATCTGTATTACCAGCTTACGGATGGAGACAGCGTAAGAAGAAGAAATTAAGATCGCCAAAACTTAGTATATAATTAGTGTATTTAGTACGTGGTATATCAAATTTGGAATCAAAAGGTTCGAAACTTACAAAATTATTCTGCACGTAAAACAAGTTTCATTTTTTGTTTGGATTTGATCATTCGAATGTTCTAGGTGTCTGAGGTTGGAGTTCATCGTCTTATCGTAGGTGGTATTCATGGATCAGCAAATATAGGGGCCTACTCGATTGTTTTAAGTGGCGGATATGAAGACGATATAGATCAAGGCGATGAATTTATTTACACGGGAAGTGGAGGCAGAGATTTAAGTGGAAATAAACGAGTGAACAAGCAGAGTATGGACCAAGAATTTAAACGAGGCAATATGTAAGTGATTATTTATTTCTCCCTATTCTTTTGAAGGTGAAATTTGTATGTTACAACATTTGTATGTTTCAATGGTAGTAAAATGATTATCTCCTTTACCAAATTGGTTTTTATAACGAATTTTTTAGGGCTTTAGCAGTTAATTGCAATGCTCCACTTGATAAAAATGGAGCAGAAGCAACAGATTGGAGAGCCGGTCTACCAGTGCGAGTAGTAAGGAAAGGTAATCCTAAAATTAATTCAAAATACAGCCCAAAAGATGGATTACGGTACGATGGTATTTACAAAGTAGTTAAATATTATCCAGAAAAGGGAGAGTCCGGATTTTTGGTGTACAGATATTTATTGAGGAGGGATGATCCCAATCCAGCACCATGGGAAGAAGGTGGTCATGAAGATGATATTGTTGTAAGTATACATGTTGATATAGTGAGATCATTGATTAAAAACTACTATACATAGATAGCTCACTGTAAGGTAAAAACGGATTCAGTGTCCGCCCACTTACACAGTGGCGGTCGGTCAGGACCGACTGGGCACACCTTTATAGATATTATAGATTTCTTTTAATATTTAATTTAATCAGTATTTAGATAATTAATTGTGGCAGGTAATCAGTTGATGTCATTTGTTTCTGTGAAATAAAAAAATATCTGTGAGATAAAAAAGACTAAATTTTATTCATGGTTTTTAAAAGAATTCGTCCAATCTGAGTGTTAAGTGATCCCTGCGTAAGACACTTTCCAAATTAATGATCCGAAATTCGTAATGATAGTAATTTCCAGTATATACGCAGTGACGTTTTGGACTCGCTTGATATTTCTGAACCCCCCCAAAAAAAGACAAAGGCATGACATAGAAACAGATCTCGAGAATCGAGTATATTTTGAAATTTTGGATACTATTATTATGCAAATAGATACCTACTCGTTTTTCTAATGTTGAAGATTTGCAAATTTTTTACCTCTTTGACGATTCAAAATTTAAAAGTTACGCGAAAGAATTTTCAAGACATTTATTAGACAGGTTAATTAAAAATTATCCATTATTTTTTAATAAAATAAAATTAGAAAATGAATTAAAAGTTTTCACAAATAATAGTAATACACTTGCAATATCTATTATGGAATTCCGATTTTAGCTCAGATAAAACGCTAAAAATTGATTGATGAAAACACTGAAGAGGTTTTCTAAAAATTATTTATTTATCAAGGCACTACAAAGGAATAACAAAATAAAAAAAAAAACATAATAAAATTAGCAGCCACGAGGTGAGCTATCTATATGTAGTTTGGAATCAATGGTGAAATTTAATTGGTAAAACAGAATGGTGTTTGAAATAAAAACTAAGCTAAAAATGGAAAAATCTTCACTTACCTTTTAATTTACCGCTCTTTTTCCACAGAGCCAATTACACGCATTATTATATAAGTCGCTTAATGTGCTATATTCTTTCACGGCTCCCGTTTTAGATATTCCTTTATACTTTTGGTAAAAATTGCTCCGTTACATTAGTTCAACCAACCAAACAAACCCAAATAGTTCTACTATATTCAGTTTGAAAATTATTGAGAGCAGTTTTTGACACAGCTGATAATCCTCAATGTGTTGCAGTAATTTTAATATACCAATAATTCGCTCCAACGTGTGGGATCAAAGATGGACAACGAAATTATAAAAAAGACCGCTTAGAAGAGGGCTCTGATTTGAGTAGTTCTTCTGAGCTTATAAATAAACAACAGAATGGGAACAATCAGAGAGGTGGCTCCAATCGCGGATTCTATCTCCAACCCATCTATTCAGTCAGATGTTCCGATAGTCAAGTATTGAATGTCACGTACTATCGCGTTCTACATCTTTCATATAAATGTCACGTCATATGTCTAATGTCACGTTCTGTTATGCACTATACGGAAAAGAAGAAGAATTGGCAGTTGGCATTGTTTCTGAGGCACCACCGCTTTGATTTGACGTCTCACACGTCAAAATCGGAGCAATAGCAATGAAGATATGATATACTGCCGTTTTGGCAATATTGCCATCTTTGTTTTTTGTCTCGTTGTAGTCGTTGCTCCTCTACTTTCCAACAAGCCCTCATACGCCACGATCGGACCAATAGAAACGAATATATGACGTAATGCCCTTTTAACATGGTCAGATGCGCACGACACATACTGCACCCCAGCCCATTTTTCATTCCCTTGCGGGTTGCGGTTTTAGGGATTGTGATTTAGAGAATGACCTCAGAAGCGCCTTAGATATGAAGACCTTAGCGTGAAAAGGATGTATGCCACATACAATTACTTTAGAGAAAATTAATGTTTGAAAATCATTGTAAATCCACAAAATCCAATTTAAGTGGTCCAGAGGTACAAAAGATAAAACTGGTCATTGAGTACTTACTCCGTGGCGTTACAACCCTTCGTGGGTTTTAGCCGACTCGACAACATGCCTCCACTGTTTTCTATCTTAAGCAACATCCATCCAATTCTCCACGCCCATAGTGCTTAGGTCTCCTGCTATATTATCTCGCCACCGAAGACGAGGGCGTCCGCGTGGTCTCCTTCCAGTTGGGACTTCCTCCCACACCAGTCTTACTGTTCGTTCGTCAGAATGTCTTCTGAGGTGTCCTGCCCATTGGAGTCTTCTGGACTTTATTTCTTTTATGATGTTGGCGTCTGGGTAAAGTTCTTCAAGCTCTTTATTAGTTCTTATCCTATATTGTCCTGATGCTTCATCAAGCACCGGACCAAAGATCTTCCTTAGGATTTTTCTTTCCCAAACACGTAGTCTCTCTTCATTTGCCTTTGTTATCGTCCACGTTTTGCTTCCATACATCACAACGGGTCGTATGATTGTTTTATAGACCTGTATCTTCGTACGTCGTGTTAGTTGTTTTGATTTGTTTTTTGAGTTGTTTTTCTGAATCCTGTTGTTTATTTCTTGTGATCCGTTATTGTCTTCAGTTATTGTTGTTCCAAGATACTTGAATTCTCTAACGCGCTCAAAGTTAAAGTCATCGATGGTAATGTTCTGACCGATTCTGTCTCTGCTTTGGTTATTGCGGCTCATATACATATATTTCGTCTTGTTTTCGTTGATTTGGAGCCCCATCTTCTCTGCTTCCTTCTCAAACCTTACGAAAGTCTCCTTCATCCTTAATCGCGTGTTTCCTATTAGATCTATATCGTCTGCAAATGCCAGTAGTAAGTTTGGTCCTTCTCGATGAAATACTGTATTCGGTTTTTCGATTCTTGCACTTCTGATTATGTGCTCCAGAGCTAAGTTGAAGAGTTGTGGTAAAAGTGCATCTCCCTGTTTTAGTCCATTGTTTATTTCAAATGTCTCCGAGTATTGTTGTCCAACTCTCACCTTACATCGTGACCGTTCCATACACATCTGTATCAACCGGACTAGTTTTTTTGGAAAGCCAAGTTCCTGCATCGCTGTCCACAGTCTGTCCCTACATACTCTATCAAATGCTTGTTTAAAATCTATGAACATCTGATGAAGCTCACGATCAAACTCCCAGCATTTTTCCATTATCTGTTTTATTGTGAATATCTGGTCAATTTTAGAGCGGCCCGGTCTAAATCCGCATTCATAATCTCCAACGATTTCTTCTGTGTATGTTTTGGTTCTTTCTAGTAGGATGTTTGAAAGGATTTTGTAGGTGGTGTTTAGGAGTGTTATTCCCCTGTAGTTAATACATTGCTTTTTGTTTCCTTTTTTGTGTATTGGTACAATAACCCCTTCTTTCCATTCATCTGGCATTGTTTCTTCTTGCCAAATGTCTTGAATTAGCTTGTATATCGAACTGTACAACGCTTCTCCTCCATGTTTTAAGCACTCTGCGGGTATACCATCGCTACCTGGTGTCTTATTATTTTTGAGTTTTTTAATTGCCTGTATTACTTCTTCGTATGTCGGGTATTGGTCTTCTATTTCAGCTGTATGTACCTCTATGTTTGATGTACTTCTGCTAGATTGGTCATTCAATAGTTGATAGAAGTATTCCTTCCAGGTTTTTAAGATTTCCTTATCATCAGTGATAAGCTGTCCACTGTCGTTTTGAAGAAAGTTTCCTGTTCTTGCTTGGTACCCGGTCTTGATATCTGAAACTCCTTTAAAGAACTGCCTCGCTTGTTTGTTCTTTCTTTTTTCTTCTATATCCCTGATTATTTGTTCCTGATACTCTCTCTTCTTCCTTTTCATTAGTTTTCTTGTCTCTGTTCTTCTTTGTCTATACATTTCATTGTTGTTGTGCGAGGGGTTTTGTAGCATGTTGCTTCTAGCCATATTTCTTGCTAATATGGAGTTCAGGCAATCATCATCGAACCATTTTTTTGTTGTTTTCTTTTTGAGTCCTAGTATTTCATCTGATACGCTTGTCAGAGCTACTTTGATATTTTTCCAAGCTGAGTCTATGTTGTTATAGTCTTCTGTCTGTACTAGAGCGATTTTTATAGCCTTTTGAAATTTCTGTTCTGTCTCCGTATTACGTAGAACTTCGGTATTCCATAATTGTGTTGGTGTATTCTTGTGTGTTTTTTTGGACGCTATTCTTGTCCTTATCTTCGCTTTTACAAGAAAATGATCCGTGTCTCCATCAGCTCCTCTTAGGCTTCTTACGTCTAGACAGTTACTACCCCTCCTGGCATTTACTAGAACATGATCAATCTGATTTCTTGTGACGCCGTCGTTGGAGACCCATGTTTGTTTGTGTATATTCTTGTGTTCAAACATTGTCGATTTTATTAGTAGATTGTGGGATGCTGCAAAGTCTATTAGCCTTGTTCCATTATCGTTGCTGACATCGTGAAGACTATGGTTACCTATTGTTGGTTTGTACGCTGCTTCCTTCCCAATCTTTGCATTGAAATCTCCTAAGATAATATGCATGTCCTGTATAGGTAAATTATTTATCAGTTCCTCTAGTTTCTCGTAGAAGTTATCTTTTACATGCTCTTCCTTTTCCTCTGTCGGTGCATGGGCAGCAACTAGGGAATAGTTATGTAGTTGTCCTTTGATTCTGATATAACAAAGTCTTTCATTAACGGGTTTGAAAGTTAAAACTGACCCCACAAGACTTTCCCTGACTATAAAACCAGTTCCGAATTGATGTTCTCGTTCGCTTCCGCTGAAAAATACTACTGATTTATTAGTTTTTAGTGTACCTTCTCCAGTCCATCTAATCTCTTGTAAAGCAGTTATGTCCATGTTTCTGGATTCAAGTTCTTTGACCACCTGAGTTAGGGCTCCAGGCCGATATAGGCTTAGTACGTTCCAGGTTCCTATATTCATTGTCCTTTGTCGCCGCTTTTGTCGTCTTAAAAGATCCGTCCTTATCCGAGGCATGTGCTTCGTTTTCATAACTATGTTTTTTTACAAGAAGGAATAGTTAGTCC